CTCCTCTCCTCCCGCCGCGCTCTCCCCTTCCTCAATCCGCCCCCCCCCCCTCCCTCACCCTCCTCCTTTCCACTCTCCTTTGTGCTTCAAGCACCACCTTACTTCTTCCTCCTCCTATTTCCTCTCCTTCTCTACTACCCTTCCACACCATCCGCCCCCTTCACCCTCCTCCTCCTCTCCTCTCTCCCTTCATTCCCCTCCCCATCTCACTCTCTCCTCCGCCTCTCTTCTCTCGTCTACTGCTGCAGCTGGTTGCCGGCTTTGCTTCGTCATTTTGCTCATCACGACCTACCCCTCCTCACCATCCGCCCCTTCACCCTCCTCCTCCTCTCTTCTCTCCCTTCATTTCCCTCCCCATCGCACTCTCTCCTCCGCCTCTCCTCTCTCGTCTACTGCTGCAGCTGGTTGCCGGCTTTGCTTCGTAATCTTGCTCATCAAGACCTACCCCTCCTCACCATCCGCCCCTTCACCCCCCTCCTCCTCTCTTCTCTCCCTTCATTCCCCTCCCCATCTCATTCTCTCCTCCGCCTCTCTCCTCTCCTCTACTGCTGCAGGTGGTTGCGAGCCTTGCTTCGTAGCCGTGCTCCTTCCCTACTGTGTTCCTCCGCCTCTATTTTCTCCCCTCAGCGGCGCAGCAGCAGACTACTCCGCTGTTATCCCTCCTCCTCTTATTTCTCCCCACAGCGGCGCAGCAGCAGACTACTCCGCCATTATCCCTCCTCCTCTTATTTCTCCCCCCAGCGGCGCAGCAGCCGACTACTCCGCCATTATCCCTCCTCCTCTTATTTCTCCCCTCAGCGGCGCAGCAGCAGACTACTCCGCCATTATCCCTCCTCCTCTTATTTCTCCCCTCAGCGGCGCAGCAGCAGACTACTCCGCCGTTATCCCTCCTCCTCTTATGTCTCCCCTCAACGGCGCCGCAGCAGACTACTCCGCCGTTATCCCTCCTCCTCTTATTTCTCCCCTCAACGGCTCAGCAGCTGACTACCTTGTCCCTATTCCTCCTCCTCTTTTATCTCCCCACATCTGCTCCATTGCTACCCCCTTCCTCCGATGGGGCCTATTCTCGCTCTTACCTCTCCTCCTCTGCGCTTCCGCCCTCACCCGTCTCCTGCCGTCCCTCCTCTCCTACCCTTGCCTTTCCTAATCTCCGCTCCCTTCGCTGCCCCTTCCTCCCCTTGCACCTCTCCTACTTGCCGATGGACCTCCCCTCTTCTCCGCCCCTCTGCTTGGGTTCCGCTGTCCCATCACCGTCGCCACTCTTGTGCCGCTGTAACCTCTGGTATTGGTTCTCTGGCCTCTGTCTTCAGTGTGACCATGCCATCCCTGGATAGCATCCTTGGTGCTTCTCCTCTTATGGACCCTCGTTTTGTCGTTCCACTTTCTCCACCCGTTCCAAGCACTGTCTCTCACTCTCTCAGCCCTACGGCTGCCACTCTCTCACTTCCTTGCACCTTGGATTTTGTCCTTGATAGTGCTGCTACTGATTCTGTCTTTCGTGATGTCGGTGTCCTTCGCAATTTTCCTCGTCCCCTCTCTATCAATGGGGCTGGGGAGACCATGACCATGATCTGCACTGGCACTTCCTCTCTTCCCTGTCCTGCCTCTCCCTCTGGCGCTGTTACGGGACTTTATGTTCCCTCTTGCCGTCATAACCTCCTATCCCTCCCTGCCCTCCAACGTCTGGGTGTGCGAGCGTTCTTTCCCGCAGGTGAACTCTATTGTGATCTTCATTACCACGACCTGCACCTCGCTCGTTTCACCCTTTCTCCTACTACTCGCCTCTACACCCTTCGTGTTCCCATCCTCTCATCTATCAATCACACTTCCTCTTCTTCTGCCCTTCCCGTCTCCTCTTGCGACTGTCGCTCTCTCACCCAACCTACCCTTCTTCTCCATCATCGTCTTGGCCACCCCAACTTCCCTCTCCTTCGCAGCATGGTCAATTCAAAGCTGCTTCATGATCTCCCTTCCTCTCTCCCGCCCCTTCCCCCCTCTCCCGCTCCTCCCTGCACCCCTTGTGTTCAAGCCAAGCTCTCCCAATCTCCTCATCCCTCTTCCCCTTCTGCCTCCCCCAAACCCCTTGATGTTGTGCATATGGACCTCTGGGGTCCCTCTCCCATTGCCTCCCGTCAGGGTCATCGTTACTTTCTCCTTCTTGTCGATGACCACTCTCGCTTTGCCACTGTCTATCCCCTCCGTGCCAAATCTGACGCCCCCTCTCTCATCATTCGCTGGGCTGAGCAGGCGCGCCTTCGGTTTGGCCGTCCTGTCGCCCGCCTCCACTCTGACGGTGGTGGCGAGTTCTTTAACCACTCTCTCTCTTCTTACTGCTCCTCTCGTGGCATTCGCCAAACCTCCACCCTTCCGCATTCTCCTGAACATAATGGTATTGCCGAGCGTCGTATTCGCACTCTCATGGAAATCACCCGCTGTCTCCTTACTCATGCCTCTGCTCCACACTCACTTTGGAGCTACGCTCTTCTTCATGCCACTCTTCTTTCCAACCTTCGCCCTCATCCCCTTCGCCCTTCCGTTACACCCTTCCAGCTCTGGACTGGCCGCCAACCCTCCGCCCGCCCTCTTCCGGTCTGGGGCTGTGTCGCCCATGTCCTCATCAATCCCGTCGATCGAGCACGACAGGGTGGGAAGCTTGCTCCCAAGACGCAGCTCTGTGCGCTCATTGGCATCAACTCTGACTGTCCTGGCTATCTTTTCTATGCTCCCTCCTCTCAGCAGCTCATTCGCAGCCAGGATGTTATCTTTGATGAGACTCGTTCCCCTTTCCTCACCCCCCCTCCCACCCCTCCTCCTCCCTCTCTTCATTGGTCTGACTTTGATCCGCTGCCCTCTGCTGCTCTCCCTCCTCCCCTCCCTCCTGCCCCTGCTCCGCCTCCCCTCCCTGCCCCCTCCTCCCCTCCCTCTGCTGTCATCTCTGGCCCCTCTCCTCCTGCCTCTTCCTCTTCGGCTCCCATGCCCTCTCCTTCACAACATCCTTCTCCTCTCTCTCCTTCTGCTCCTGCTCCCCCACCTTCTCCGCGTCTCACCCGCTCCATGACACGTGCAATGTCCAATTTTCAACACTCTGCTCTCTTGACTCGTCTCTCTCCCTCTCCAAACGTCGATCTTCTCGAGGATCGATTTGAAGAGTTGTTCTCTATTCATCCCGTTTCACCCCTCCTCTGTGTCACCATTGGCGACTTCTCCAATTCTCCCACTCTTCTCTCCGTTGACACTGCCGCTATTCCCACCCCTCAGACTTATTCCGAGGCAGTGTCTGGCTTTCATGCAACAGAGTGGATGGCTGCCATCATTGCCGAGTGTGAGGCATTCACCAGAACTCAATCTTACGTTGACTCTGTCCCCCCCCTTGGCGCCACCATTGTCAAGGGCAAATGGGTCTTTCGTGTCAAACAGCTGCCTGGGGAGCTTCCTGTCTTCAAAGCCCGTTACTGCGCCAAAGGCTTCACCCAACGTGAAGGCATTGACTACTTTGCCACTTACTCCCCCACTGCCCGTCTCCCAACTCTTCGCCTCCTTCTTGATCTAGGTGCTCGCTGGGATTGGGAGATTCACTCTATGGATGTCTCCAATGCCTTTCTCCAGGTCGAGCTTCATGAGCGCATTTTCCTTGAGCGCCCCGCTGGCTTTCCTCGCCCCTTCCCTCCAGGCACTGTCTGGGAGCTGAAGCGCCCAGTGTATGGACTTAAGCAGGCCCCGCGCGAGTGGCATGCTAAGCTCGCCTCCACTCTTCACTCTCTTGGCTTCTCCACCTCCACTTCCGACCCCAGTCTCTTCATTCGCACTTCCCCCCACAGACTTTACATTCTTGCCTACGTCGATGACTTGGTGCTTCTCGCTGAAAATTCTGCTGACCTTGCCGCTGTCAAGCAGGCCCTCCATGCGCGTCTCCTATGCAAGGATCTTGGCGAACTTCGTCATTATCTCGGCATGGAGATTCGTCGTGATCGTGCTGCACGCACCATCTCTCTCTCTCAATCTTTCTACATCCACTCCATTCTTGAGCGCTTTGAAATGTCGCAGGCCAAGCCAGTTTCCACTCCTCTTCCCGCTAACCATCAGCTTACTGCCCCTGCCGTTCCCGCTCCCTCCTCAGAACCGCGACCCTATCCTGAGCTCGTTGGTTCCCTCATGTATGCTATGATGTGCACTCGCCCCGATCTTGCTTACCCCCTCAGTGTCCTCTCTCGTTTTGTTGGCCTTGGTCGCCACACTGACGTGCACTGGGCGGCTGCCAAGCGCGTTCTCCGCTATCTCCGCGCTACCTCTGATCTTGCACTCACTCTTGGTGGCTCTTCTCCCCCTGTTCTTTCTGGTTACAGTGATTCCTCATACGCTGATTCTCGCCCTGATCGCCGCTCCTCTCAGGGTTATGGTTTTACACTTGGCAGTAGCCTCGTCAGCTGGCGCTCCACTCGTTCATCCTCTGTCTGCCTTTCCACATGCGAGGCTGAGTTGTACGCAGGCACACTGGCGGCTCAGGAGGCGCGCTGGCTCTCGTTTCTCCTTGCTGAGCTTGGTCACTCTCAACCCTCTGTGACGCTCTCCTGTGACAGTGCGAGCATGATTCACCTCACTGAAAATCCTGTCTATCATGCTCGCAGCAAACACATCGAGGTCCGCTACTTCTTCGTGCGCGAGTTGGTGCAGTCTGGCTTTCTCTACCTTCGCAAGGTGGCCGCTACTGACAACCTTGCTGACATTTTCACCAAGGCTCTCCTTCGTGCGCCACACCGTTTCTACGTGCGCGCACTTGGGCTCGCTCGTCTCACCACTTCTGGGGGTGTTCCGATTCGCTAGGTGTTTTGTTCCAGAGCTTCACCTAGCCTGGGGGTGTGTTGGAGTAGGTTAGAGCTCGCTCTGGCATTTATCATGGTGCTCTTTTGTCATTTCGCCATGTCTAGAGCGAGATACACTTTCGGTTCAGTTTAGGTTCATTTCTTAGTTTCTAGCACAAACTGAACACACCCTAAGTTCATTTAGGGTTTCCTACATTTGTATCTCGACATTCTTGTTAGTCTATCACTTGAACCATCCTCTCTAGCCATGGCTCCAAGTAGTCTCTTAACAGAAAAGCCATTCTTGCCATCCCACTGAGATGAAAAGCCATTCTTGCCATCCCACTGAGATGAAAAGCCATTCTTGCCATCCCACTGAGATGAAAAGCCATTCTTGCCATCCCACTGAGATGAAAAGCCATTCTTGCCATCCCACTGAGATGAAAAGCCATTCTTGCCATCCCACTGAGATGAAAAGCCATTCTTGCCATCCCACTGAGATGAAAAGCCATTCTTGCCATCCCACTGAGATGAAAAGCCATTCTTGCCATCCCACTGAGATGAAAAGCCATTCTTGCCATCCCACTGAGATGAAAAGCCATTCTTGCCATCCCGCTGAGATGAAAAGCCATTCTTGCCATCCCGCTGAGATGAAAAGCCATTCTTGCCATCCCACTGAGATGAAAAGCCATCCTTGCCATCCCACTGAGATGAAAAGCCATTCTTGCCATCCCACTGAGATGAAAAGCCATTCTTGCCATCCCACTGAGATGAAAAGCCATCCTTGCCATCCCACTGAGATGAAAAGCCATTCTTGCCATCTCACTGAGATGAAAAGCCATCCTTGCCATTCCACTGAGATGGAAAGCCATTCTTGCCATCCCACTGAGATGAAATGCCATCCTTGCCATCCCAATGAGATGAAAAGCCATTCTTGCCATCCCACTGAGATGAAAAGCCATTCTTGCCATCCCACTGAGATGAAAAGCCATTCTTGCCATCCCACTGAGATGAAAAGCCATTCTTGCCATCCCACTGAGATGAAAAGCCATTCTTGCCATCCCACTGAGATGAAAAGCTATTCTTGCCATCCCACTGAGATGAAAAGCCGTCCTTGCCCCTTTTGGGCCTTATCTTGCCCTTTTCCTCATTTCTCAACCTAAGGTGGATGTAGCGCGCTGCTTACCAGGCTGTAGCCGGACGATCCGCCAAAGCTGACTCTGACCCGGCTGATTCTGCATTGCAGGAAATCTAAAGTCTCGCTGGAAACCATTCCCTCCCCTTTTGGCTGCGATTCTCGTTCCCCTTTTCCCTTTCCCTTCATCCGGGCAGGTGGTTGTGTCGGGGTCATCAGCAGGAGGGGTGGCGGCGCTGCTGCACTGCGATCGAGTGAAGGACACTCTCACAGCCGCCTCTCCTTCCATCCACGTCTGCTGCCTTGCTGACGCTTCCATGTTCCTCGACGTGTAAGACTCCTCTTCACCCCTCTTCACTCCTCTTCACTCCTATTCACTCCTAGTCACTCCTCTCTCACTCCTATTCACTCCTCTTTCACTCGTATGGGTTGAATTGTAAGAGCACATTGACTTGTGTTGACTTGTGGGATTTTTTTTTATTCGAATATTGAAGGTGTTTTTTTATCTAAACCCTAGACCCATTCAGTGCATGCATGTGTGTATCTCTCTCCCTCCCTCTCTCCCCATGTGCAGTCCAGATGTCAACAACACCCGGAGGGTTGCCAACTTCTTTGCTGAAGTGCACGACATGCATGTGAGCAAGTCAGGACATGCATGTGAGCAAGTCGGGACATGCATGTGAGCAAGTCGGGACATGCATGTGAGCAAGTCAGGACATGCATGTGAGCAAGTCAGGACATGCATGTGAGCAAGTCAGGACATGCATGTGAGCAAGTCAGGACATGCATGTGAGCAAGTCAGGACATGCATGTGAGCAAGTCAGGACATGCATGCATGTGAGAAAGCCAGGAGATGCAAGTTCACACCTACCCATACCTGCCGTCCTTCTCACTTCTCTCTCCCTTCCGCTTTCTCTCCTCCCTTTCCCTCCTCCCTGTTCTCTCCCTCCCTCTCCCCCATGGCTCCACCCGTCCAGAATCTGACAGCCAACCTTCCACCAGCATGTCTCAAGGAGCGAGAGTCAGAGAAACACCATGAGGTGCGGTGCACGTGCCAATGCTGCCTTGCTTGCACCGAATCTGCCATCCCACCTCGCGTGCTCTCTTCCACGCCATGCCATCCCGCCGTTGCCGTGAGCCAACGTGCTAAATCCATCCCCTCAACAAGCAACCCAACGTGCTAAATCCATCCCCTCAACAAGCAACCCAACGTGCTAAATCCATCCCCTCAACAAGCAACCCAACGTGCTAAATCCATCCCCTCAACAAGCAACCCCCCTCTCACTTGACCCCTCCTCCTTCCGTAATTGCCCTTATCACCACTCTTCACTCCTCTTCAATCCTCTTCACCATTGCCAGATTCCGGCCCACTCTTCCCTCCTCACCAATACAGTGTTTCATGGCCGATCAACTGCTGAAGTACGTCTCCACGCCTCTCTTCCTCATTAACAGCAATTATGACAAAATCGCGGTATGTTGACAAGCTTGTTGGTCGTGTCATTTAATGATATGTTATTTATACGATTGTTACTCAATTGCCAGAATTGATACTATCGTTGTTTTATGATTATTCTTATTGCCACTACTACTATCACAATTACCATGAACATGGCAATCACTATCACTGTTACAGTTGCTATTACTATAACTACGACATTTACGTATTTTCTTTTTTCTTTTTTCTTTTTCTTCTAATTTAATTTCTGGTACAAGCTATTAACATAATCTGGTTATTATACCAAGAACTCATTCCGGCCTCTTTGCGACTAGTGTGGCATGAGATCGGCTGAAACTGGAAGGTCTCACTTCACAGTACTGCATCACTCTTGAGCTCGCACCCAGTGTCACACCAGAGTGCTTGCATCATCTCTTGAGGTTTTCCTTTCTCACATCTTCACCCTTTTCCCTATCAACTCTATAAATATATTTTTTCTCTCTATTATACCTTGAGCCATTACTCTCTCATCTCTTCAACCTTTCCTCTCTCACTCTGTCGCTTGCACTCTCTTTTGTGCCTTGACCTGCAGATGAGGGCCATTGCAGCACCGCAGGTGTTGGATCGGGAACAAGGGCCCCTCCAGACTGCTTCAACCAGCTCAGCAAGTGCACCGCTGCTGAGAACCGAGTCATTGAGGGTACGTGAGTGTGTGTAAGTGAGTGCGTTCGTGCCTTGACCTGCAGATGAGATGAGGGCCATAGTAGCATCGCAAATATTGGATTCAGAGTCAACAGCCCCGCCAGACTGCTTCAACCAGCTCAGCAAGTGCACCGCTGCTGAGAATCGAGTTATCGAGGGTACGTGAGTGTGTTTGACAATGGGAGGGAGTGTAAAGCCTAATTTGTTCTAAAAGGAGCTTTCGGTTGCACTTGCACAGCTCTACTCTCCTTGGCTTACTCTCCTTGCCTTACGCTTCCCTACCCTCCTTATTTTACCTTGTCCTACCCTCCTTGCCTAACCTTACCTTGCCTTCCTTGCCGCCTTACCTTGCCTTAATTTTCTTTCCCACCCGCCTTGCCTTGCTTTGCCTCACTCGGTTTTTCCCACCTTGCCTAACCTTGCTTCACTTGCCTAACCTTGCCTCACCTTGCCTAACCTTGCTTCACTTGCCTCACCTTGCCTCACCTTGCCTCACCTTGCCTCACCTTGCCTCACCTTGCCTCACCTTGCCTCACCTTGCCTCACCTTGCCTAACATTACCTCACCGTGCTTCACCTTTCACCACTCCTGGGTTTCAGACTACCGCAAGGCAGTGGCATCAGCAGCGGCTCCTCTCCTCCACACCGACCCACCGGCATCCACCACTTCGTCACCATCTCAACCGCACTCCACACCTGCCAACGCCGTCTTCCTCTTCTCCTGCTTCCAGCACGGCTCGATCCACTCGGACATGCCGTGGACCGAGCGCACGGCAAAAGGAGTGGTGCGTTAAAAGCACACTTCCTTTCCTTATATCGTAGCACACGCGCGTTCGTGCGTGCATGAGTGTGTGTATCTGTGAGCATGCATGGGTGTGCATGCATGGATGTTCAACCAATCCGGCCTTTCTTTTTCCTCTCTCTCCCCAATCCATCCAACGGCAGCCAATGTACGAAGCTGTGGACCGTTGGATGCACCCCGACAACAGCGACAAGATTGCTCTCGTCGAAGGAGGATATCCGTGCAACTCCTGCGCAGGGCTACTGCGACGTTCTTAAATATATGCCTCCTGGCCCACCGGAGCTGGATGCCTCCTGGCCCACCGATGTACGAAGCTGTGGACCGTTGGATGCACCCTGACAACAGCGACAAGATTCATCTCATCGAGGGACGATATCCGTGCAATTCGTGCGCCATGAAGGAATAAAGTGTGATCGGACAGTTTCCCAATCGTGCAACATTTTCTTCTCTTCAAGTGCATTATGGCCGTGGAAATGCTGAATAAGGCCCACGGGTTCGAAATAAGGCCAGTTGGGGTTGGTTGCTCCTATTATGTAAAATAGTACCAGTACTAGGACCATATTTTGTTGTTTTGATTCAGAATTGTTTTTTTTTTTTTTTTTTTTTTTTTATGCTTGCTGTGTTGTGATACCCCATATATTACTGTCATATACCAGAAGTGTTAAAGTAGGAGTAGGCTAGGAACTTAGGGTTTTGGCTTAGGAGACTAGCGAGGAGATTTGGCAAGGAGAAAGAGGGTCGACTAGAATGGAGGAGATACAAGTTATAGGCAATGCAAGGCAAGAACTAGAGAATGTAACACAACACTAACAATTGCTACAAGCAGTTTATACGTAGAATATAACTTAACACACCCCCTAAACTGCTTGCAGCAAGTGGCTAATGCAAGGACACCCCCTGAAGGAGTTCACCAAGGTGCGGCGAAAGGAGTGGGCAAGCGAGGAGGAGGAAAGAGAGAGGAGAGAGGAGGGGAGAGAGATAGGAGAGGAGGAGGTAGGCGACGATTGAAGTTGCTAGCCCACGGGCTACTGGAGCACTGGCTTGCGGGCACTGGGGTGACTGGCTCGTACGCCTAGAGCATTCCGCTCCTACGGCTAGAGCAACGGACCCACGGGCTACTGAAGCACTGTCTCACTGGCGACTGGAGCTGCAGGTTTCACGGCGGCCACCCACACCCCCCAAAACTCCCCCCCCCAACGGCGGAGACGGCTGGAAAACGGAGAGGCGGCTGACGGAGAGGAGAGAGGAGGAGAGGTGAGGAGAGGCGGCTGGAGGAGCGGAGAACAGGAGGAGTGGAGAGAGGAGGAGGAGAGAGGTGAAGAGAGGCGGCTGGATGAGAGGAGAGAGGAGGAGGAGAGGTGAAGAGAGGCGGCTGGACTTTCACACCACCCCCTCACCCTCCCCCCCTCCCCCCACAGCGATAGCGGCTGCAGGGAGAGAGAGGAGAGAGGGGAGGCGGTTTCATCCACCCCCGCCTCCCCCATTCACGGCCACCACCCCCACCACCCCCCCCCCAAGGCGGAAGCCGCGGCAGGGGCAGGGAGGGCGAGGTCGCTGGCGCTGGCGGGCAGCGCGCGTTGCTGCTGCTGGCGCTGGCATGCAGCGAACGCTGCTGCTTCTGGTCGCGGGTCGCACCCTGGCTTGCAGCGCGCGCTGCTGCTGTTCGTGCTGCTAACGCGCTGGTACGGGGCGGACAGCGAAGCCTAAGGAGGCGTGCGACAGGGCCTGCGAGGGGGCGCGACGTAAGGGGACGTTGGGGGCCAGCGGGGCGCGCGACGAGCAGAAGCTGCACGACGGGCTGCAGCGTGACGGGCTGCCTGGCGAGCCACGCCATAACGAAGGCTAACGGTGGGTCCTTAAAGATAAAACGGTCCTAAGGTCGGGACCAGCTCTGATACCATGTTAAAGTAGGAGTAGGCTAGGAACTTAGGGTTTTGGCTTAGGAGACTAGCGAGGAGATTTGGCAAGGAGAAAGAGGGTCGACTAGAATGGAGGAGATACAAGTTATAGGCAATGCAAGGCAAGAACTAGAGAATGTAACACAACACTAACAATTGCTACAAGCAGTTTATACGTAGAATATAACTTAACAAGAAGGTCCACCTGAGACTTTAGGACAGCAGAGCAGACACTACCTGGTCAATCTTCTTTGTGAACTTGGCCTGCTGTTAGTAGAGCACTCTGAGGTACCGATTGGCCACATTGCAGAAGAATGAGGAGGAGCTGGATAAGATGCAGAAGATAGTATGGCGTGTTGGGGGAACACAATCACGGTAATGCGAGGGACACATACGGTATCGGTACAGCTTCCGTGATAGTGTCGTGGCTAGATTGTCCACTTGTGAATCATTCATGCCTGGGGTCAACTCGTTTTTGTATTC